TGTGGCGTGTACTTTCATTTTCAATCAGTCCCTTCATTTCTTCCTTGCTTTGTGCGTTTTGTCCAATTCTATGTTCAGAACGCCAAGAACCGAGACACCCTCCACCATTGACACCACAGTGTTGGGATCGCAGGCATGAGCCACCGTGCCTGGCCTTCAGAGCATTTTAAAATACACCATTAAAGAGCACTGAAGAGAGTTGGATGCTAATATATTATTAGTAGGAAGTACCACAAGAAAGTTAACAGAGGACTGAGGAGGATATAAAATCCCAGGAAATCCCATGTCCTGCTTCCTGGGGTCAAAACTTCCCCACCTTCTACCCCCATTCTCTCCCCAATGGTTCCTCAGCAGAACACATGAATCTGCTACAGCCCGTGTTGCTCCCAGGCCAACTGTCCTCAGTAAGAATGGGCTGGCCATAGCCAAAGCCCCCTGTCACCTTGGCATCTTGAAGGCTGAAATCAAAGACAAATAAATGTGCATTTTTCCCAAATTGAAGCCATTTATTTCTTGTTGCCTCAAGGAGAGGATAGGAATAAAGGATTACAGACTGTAATTAATCAGGCCTAGAGAGGCAGGTGCAGGTTAATGCAACCCGAAAAGGGAATCCTAGCCAAAAGCTGCCAGGCTCTCCCCTGTTAATTTCCATGTCCTGCCTGGTCAAAAATACCCTGAGGGCAACTTCACAGATCTTTGGTTAAGGTTAAGAGCTGAGCTTGGCATGGCTAGGTTGCTGAGTAATACTTGCTTTGCACTTTTTTTTTTTGGAGCTGTGACAGAAAAGCAGGATGTCGGGAAGCTTCCACCAGACAGTAGGGGTCTGGAAGCATTCAGAAAAGCCCCAGGGAAGGGCCTCTGAGCAGAGGACTCACCACAGTCATGGTGGAAGCAGCTGTGGCCTATGCTAATTTGTTTAGGAGCTCATAGCCTTTCTCCTCTATAAGCTAACTAAGAGTCAGAACACAGTGATGGGGAGAAATGTGTGTACACTGCTTGCTTATAGAGAGAGGTGAGTGTGTATTCACTCTGGCTGCTAATTCTGTAGTAACATTTAACATATTTATAGGAAAAAGTGGAGTGGCTTATGTTTGGTACAGAATTATTTCAGTACACGAATGAGCTTCACTGGTGGGCTAGCAATGCCCTAGACAGGCTCTGCAGCTCATCAGGGCACAGTCATCCCAGTGGAAGAAATCAGCGGCCACTGCTGGGGTCAAGGGCAAGAAGAACAGTTCCACCCTCATTTCCTAGCTTTGCACATTTCTAACCTGAGAGGGAGGCAATGCCTTGTTCCTTTCCACTTCACAGATGTGGCTGGCTGTATTCAGAAACTCATCTCAGTATTCTTTCTGTTCTCTCTGGACTCCACTTTTGCCACTCTTGCTCAAAAGCGACAAGGAGAAGCGAGAAAATCAAAGACATCAGGTCAGCCCCAGGGCATCCTCTGTGGGTGCTCAGGCGTCCCCACACTCCAGCTAAGAGAGAGTGAGACGATGCACAGATGGTCTTCTCCGCCAGGGTTTGATGGTTAGGGATATAAATAGAAAACAAAAAATAAAAAACAATGCTTGGGGGGTTTTCTGATGCCACAGAGGATGAAAAACTCCTTAGAATCACTTCCCATAGTCACCAATAAAGCCTAATGACTGGAATGAGTTTGAATTATGAAGGAGGTGAGCAGAGTGGGTGAGAAGTGGCGTCGAGCGTAATGTCCACTTCCAGGTAATCAAGAAATGACCACATTACAAAAGGCAGCTTTGGCGGGTTTCTGGAAGGTATGTGAAGTCCAAGGGAAATAAGGTGGAGAACACTGTGAGTGCAGAGAGGCCGATGACCTTAAATGGCTCACACACGCTATCCCAAGTTTCCACCCAGGGTTCTGTGTTGTTTTCTCCAGATTAAGAAATGATGTCACTGACCTGGACAGATTAGAAAGCACCTCCAGACTTAAGCCACCTGCTCTTCTGTTAAATTGTTGATTTTAATCTCCTAAGAGTTCATTACATACCCTCTTACCAGAAAGAGAGCCGGGGCCAGTCCACATTTGTACAACAATTTCTTGGAGAATCAGATCATGGAGCAGCATGCACTTGCACATTGAGGGCATGTATGTAGGTGTTTCCTGGTAACCAATGGCCCAGGCACACAGCTAGCTTGTCCACTCTCCATTGCCTTGTATGTAACTTGTTATCCTTAACCCTGAGGGAGCGTGAACTCAGCACTGCATTGAGCTATGGAGGAGTAACTGCATGGGGACTTACTTCTCTCAAGAAGAGTAAGTCACTTTTAAAATATGATGACTTTATAACAAAAAAAAAAGTAAACTGGCTTTTGAGAAAGAATAAAGATTAAGAAAAAAGAAAACAACATAGCATGCCCGGAAGAAAGCATAAAGGGTAAGAAAATTCCCAAGAACAGCCTTGTGCTGATGGCCCTGTGTCGGGACCCTGCTCTCACTGAAGAGCGGTCAGACAGTCTCAAAGGAGCCCCAAGGCCACTCCGAGATGCAGGAGACACAGGTGAGGAGCTGGCACTAGGAACAGGAGACCGAGTCCTCCAGGTTGCCACCCCATCCCCGGAAAACTGATCTTTTCACACCAGCCTTGCAATCTATTTCTCCCCTTTGAGCAGTCACAGGACGTTAGCGAAAACAAACAATTATAAAAATTAAATGGCAAATATAAGCACAAAATCCCAGCTTGCACAGACTATTTAAATTCAAGGCCCTGTTAAGATGGTATATAAATACAACAGCACTGAGGCATGCTATTTTATGTAGCAGTAATATTGAAATCATCAAATTTTAACATGCTATTGACAAGTCTGCATGTTAATCTTCCTAAATCAGAACCTCAGTAAAATTAGATCCTTCTACAGGTGGATTAAGGGAATTGGGTCAGACACTGCAGCTTGGGTTTCCCCAGGTCTTACCTGGAAGGTAATACTGAAAGGTCAGTACTTTGGGAAATCCAATTATCTTAAAAGACTCAAAGTAGAGAAAACACTATAGAATTAATGACTGACAATGAGGCTGGAAGTTCCCAGAGAGCAACTACAAGGGCTGAGCACAGAGCAGGCACTCGATGGATCAGAAGAGACAGGGCCTGCCCAGGGTCACACAGCTGAAGCCCTGGGGAAGGTGCCTCTTCCCACCGCCCTCTGTCGGTGATTCTCTCCTGTGTGCTCCTTATCAGAAAGGAGGTTTGCCTTTATACTCTGCTCCTTCCTCACTTCTTGGTTGCACTCCTGTTCCCAAAGATGCCTCCCTCACTTCCCATATTCTACCCCTGTTTAAATGATTCACTTCAAATCTTAGCTCCCACATAAAGCTTTCCTGACTGTGCAAGTGTGTCATCTCCAGCCTTGACACTTGTACAGCATGAAGCATCCAAACTCTCAAATAGACTCTTCCATGATTTCTTCTGAATTTCTTCTGCCTCTTATGTTACTTAACTCGCACATGATTTCTTCTGCCTCTTATGTTACTTAACTCGCACATGAGGCAACTCTTCAGCATGTTCCTGAGGCCTTTGTGCTGTCAAAAATCACAAAGACTGCCTTCTTTCTCCATAGCAATGCAACACAGTTCAGTTGGAAACCCAGGGATGAGCAATAGGGGATGAGCAACAGCGTCAGAGATGTAATCAGGAGAGCCTGTCTGCATGGGGACGTGGCCGCTTCTAGAGGGGACTGGCCTTTATTCTAGTCTCAACATAAGGTGAGTCCCGGCTGAGTTCCAACCTGCTAAGCACTTGTTCACACTAGACTGTCACTGTTCTTATGACGCTTCACTTCTTTAGGTCTGAATTTCTATTTTAAGACGCCATGACTTCTATAATTTAAAGATCCAGGAGGATTTAGTCTATTATTAGCTTAAAGAGGACACGACATTGGTCAGAAAAGAAGCGCAAGGTGGGTTTGCAGCCCAGTTCGTGTTAACTTCAAACAATTTTAGAAGGATCTGGGAAGAACCTCAGGGAGACTGTGCCTCATTTGAAGCTATAGAAATGAAAGACCAGAGAGGGGCTGTGATCTGTGGAGACTCACTCAGCTGACTGGTGACAGCACTGACACAAAAATAATCAGTCTCCTGATGGCTAGGCAAGTAAACCTTCACCACGCCATGAAGGCTCTCCCTGCCGAAAATACACCGTTATACGTAACAGTCCTTTCAATCGGGCTGGAATTCTGAAAGGAAAAGAAACCTCAGAAATGACCACACACAACACAAATCTGCATAGCACTGGGCAAAATTATGGTATTAAAATAGCCATCTTGATTGTTACAGTCTATGAGGCTGAATGGCAGATTGAAATAAAATACTGAGATACAGAACTTGAATCTAAGTTCCATTTTTCACAGTAAAATCATGTTGGGCAGGTCATTTTCCTTTCTACGCCTTTCTTTTCTTTCTTTTTTTTTTTTTTTTGAGACGGAGTCTTACTCTGTCGCCCAGGCTGGAGTGCTGCGACTCAATCTAGGTTCACTGCAACCTCTGCCTCCCACGTTCAGGCAATTCTTCTTCCTCAGCCTTCCAAGCAGCTGGAACTACAGGCATGTGCCACCACACCCGGCTAATTTTTGTAGTTTTAGTAGAGACAGGGTTTCATCATGTTGGTCAGTTGACCTCGATCTCCTGACTTTGTGATCTGCCCGCCTCGGCCTCCCAAAGTGCTGGGATTACAGGTGTGAGCCACCACGCCCAGTCTATATCTCACTTTCTCAGGTGTAAAAATGAATAATCACAGGGTTTCTCAGTGGGGGAGTTCCCGGTGTTTGGACAGGTCCATTCTTGCTTGGGGACTGTTCCCCTACATTATGGAACACTAAGCATCCCTGGCCTCAGGTCCCATCATTGTGTCAATTAAAAATGGCCCCACACATTTTAAACTGCCCTAAGTTTAGAACCACAGGAAGGTCTCCAAGGCCTCCACTGGCTGTAAAGTGCCAGCAGGAAGCCACTCCCAGGTGTAGAGTGAGACAGGTGGCAGGCCTACCCGTAGATGTCCAGGACCCCGATGAAGGAGTGCTGTTTGAGGGAAGTGTGCAGGGCCTTGTTGATGTGCTCCACGATCCAGCTGAACAGCTGGGCATAGATGTGCTTGGCCAGGGCGTTGCGTGCATTGATCACCTGCTGCAGGGACATGGTCTTGACATAGGTCTCCGAGGTGGTGACCAGCTTGCGATGACACAGCCAGTGCTCCATCTGACTGTGCTCCACCCCTAGCAGTCGGCAGAAGTTGCTTAGGTGTTCATCCTGGGGCTAAGGGAGATGGGGGAGATAGGTTCAGGAGGAGTGTGGGGGACAAGCCGCCCCCCCACCAATGTCTTCTACCCTCCCACCCAGAGGAAAAACAAGCCAAACCCAAGGCCTCCCAGTCCTCCAGAATCCCAGCACATCCTCTGCTGCCAGCCTAGCAGGCAGGCAGTCTCTCTCACTCTCTCTCACACACACATACACACACACTCTGTCTCTCTCTCTCTCTCTCTCTCTCTCTCTCTCTCTCTCTGTGTGCTAAGTGGAGATCACTGAGCCCATGATAGAACAATGCTCAAACTGATCATTACACCTGCTAATGATTAAATTGCAGAATTTTTAAAAAACCAAAACCTTCTCCATCTTTCTTGTCCTCTCCCTCTATGCCAGGCTGCTGCTGAGCAACTGGTAAGAGGAGAGTCCCTGAGTGAAGGGAGCAGAATGAGAATCAAGAACTTATGACCATGTAATCCATTCAGAGTAATGAGCAGATTCACACCAAATTCAGTTTGCATCTGCTGAGGTCTGCATGCAGTGCTTGACCCACAGCCCAGAAAGCAATTCTCTTCCTCCCTCTTAGAGTTCTTCACTTAGAGGCACCGCCTTTGACCCACCCCATCTAACCAGCTGTATGCTCAGAAACAACCCTCAGGCTCCTAAGATAGAGGGGCCCTTCAAAGGCACTAGCCATGTCCCTCCCTTAGAAGTCAGTTCCCCACTCTGTAAAGTAACAGGATGGGCCAGATCAATGATTCTCTTCTGGGTGGCTGGCTTAAGTGAGAATCACCTTGAGAAGTTTTTGAAATTGTATGTGACACCAGCAAGTGGTTCAGATGTGCTGGGTGAGAGACAGGTTGAAATGCAATGGATGATGTCACCCCCAGCACTGATCCTGCACTGTCCTGTGCTTCCAAGCAGGCTTGCTTTCTTCTTAGCCTCAGTGATGCTAAAATCATAGAAACTGAACTATCCTCCCCCAGCAGCAAGTGTTTTAAGAATGTAAGCAAAGTTCATCAGCGTGGAAAGCTAAGATACATGACAAAAACATGGACCACATCTTGACCTGGGAGGATCATCTGGAACACTCCCACTGATAATATCACATATGCTCAGAGCTGGAAAGAAACTGAAACTCCTCCAGTGTGAGGCTCTTTTCATACAGGTAAAAAGCTGACCTGAGCCCCAGAGAGGTACAATTACTCACCCAGGCCCCCGCCCTATCCTCGGGACAAGGGTTCTTCCACTGTCCTACCCGATGTATCTCCTACCTACCCAGCTGCCTCTAGGGACTATGTGTGAGTCTTGACCCTCATTTATCCAAATACCAATCACATCACCTGGTGTTTGAGTCACTGGAGAGCCACATTTCCCAAAGGGTCTTATTTCACCAAAATATATCAATTCCTCAGAAAATCCTTGCAGCCCACTCAGGGTACCCTGAGAAAGCCTGTTCATCCTTGGATGCTCCTCTTACCTGCTATTCATTCCCTCATCTGAATCCACCTGGGAAAGCTGATAGCAAAGCCTCGAGCCTGCTGGAGAGCTTATTAACACTGCGGCTGAAAGGGAATCCTTCAGAACATGATGTGCCACCTCCTAATCGCCCTAAATTGCTTGTGGGACTCATTTTCTGATGAGGCTGCCTTGCAGGATTTAAATGAGGGCTTAATGAAAATTAACACAGATAACTGTATCATTTCTCCCTTAATACCATGTCCCCAGGCCATTTTTTCCTCTTACAGATATTTAAAATCCATCTGCCCAAAACACAGTTATAAAATAATAGAACGCCAGAGTAGGAAAGAACCATCCAAAATCACTAAGGCCAGTGTTTTTCCAATGCAAAGAACATGAGTTTGCTTACTTAACAGAAGGAGAGGATAGCACCAGGTTAAACATAGCTGAACTGGTTTAATACACCATGTAGCACCAAGAGATAGATATTTTAAGAAGCATTTCTGGAATGTATTTGATCAAAGACTGATTATGCTCTTAAGAAAATGCATTCTAATCCAAAGTCCCTTATTATTCAGATAAAGCTGAGTGAGGCCTCCTGCCTTCTGGTCCAGAGCTCGTAACCCCAGCCTGGCAGAAGAATCAGCTTGGTTTGGACTGGGCGGGTGTGGAGAAGCCCCCATCTTTTTATGCTCAGCAGAGAGTTTCCATGGCTACTTCTCCTGGCCAAGATCCTTTTTCTCTGCAGCCAACCCATCTCCCCCTCCCCTAAACATAAAGCCATATGCGGTAGAGTTAAGTGCCCGGGGACCGCTTGGCAGGCGACAAGTTCAGAGGTGGCAAGCATCCAATTTGTTCATCTGACTTATTTCCAAGAAATTCTTAATTGCTAGGCATGGCACTGCAGATGGATTCCCTGACATTTAAGTGGCCTGCCAGCAGCTACCATGACTGCCCAAGACATGCCCACGGGCACCCTCCCCTCCTTGAGGCCTCACGCTGCGAGTGCAGTGGAGAAAGCGCACGTTAGAGACTTGTCTGATAACCATATGGGGACGGCCTTTTATCCACCACAAGTGAGGTGGGGCTTGATGTTCTCACGCTCTTCAGACTGTTGATTGAAGGTGCTCACTGGAACTGATGTAGCATCGTGCAATTACATTTAGGTAGAATTAAATGATGCTAAATCCATTAAAAATAGCCAACATCATAGGTAGCAGATTAGTTTCATGATCCCATATTGCTAAATTCAAGAAACAAATTGCCTCTGGTGTCCACGCAACTGAATGCTGTTGCATCTCCAAGGTAACCCTGGCAGTCATGGAGCGCATTCTCATGCTTTAATTAAAAATAAAAACTGCTGAGCAGAAGGCACACTGCTTATGGAAAGACAGCCTTTCCAACAGGAGGCCCATCCTATTTGTCCACGGAATAAACCACAATCAGAGGAACTCTCAGTAGTAACTACTTAACAATGCATTTCTCAAGCATACACTCTGTGCCTGGCACTGTGCGGGCATCAATGGGGCCCACCAGGCAGGCAGAGGGCAGTCTCCTCCTCAAGGACTTGCAGTCCAGCTGAGGAAGCCAGGCTGGCAGGAGTGAAGGGGACTGAATGCTGCCTGGGCCCTGTCCCACCTTTGCCATGGTCATTCTGATTTCAGAGAAAGAGACTCCTCTCTCTGGGCCTTATTTTTTCTTCCCGTCTACAGCAAGAGGGATGCTCCTAAGGTCCACTCTGGCTATAACAAGGTTGACACTAGACAAGGACTCTCTCACCATGGGCTCTGTGCTAAAACCTTTCCATGCAGGGCTTTCTGGGATAGATCCTCACCCCAGCACTGAGGCACGTGGTCACCCACACTCCACAGAAGAGGAAACGGAGAGGTTAGAACACTTGCCTTAAGTCATACATCCAGCAAGAAGAATCGGGATGTGAACCTTGGCTGTCTTGACTCAGTTTTTGCTGTCCACTAGTTCTCTGTACAGCTCTGATTGCAGAACAATTGCAGACCAGCCTAGACCATAAACCTGAATTCAAATGCCTTCTGGGATTTCCTGCCACCTAGCAGAGAAAGGGCTGCCACATGAGGTAGCATCCAAACCTCAACCTCTCGGGCCTCTTGCCTCTTGCCCCGCCTTTACCACCTGCATCTTCCATTTACGCCTCCCTAAGAAGGTCCTGATGTTCCCACCCTCATACTGTCTCCACATAAACTCAGTGGGTACAAGAGGGAGAGCAGTGAGCTCAACAGATACAGTCCTAATAAACACTCACTTCCCTTCTCAGCTGAACGTCCTCGAGAGGCTGGGTGTGGAGGGTCAACTATAAGATCAGAGACACTTCACTTACAGGCTTAAGCCTTAGTTTGGCAAAGGGGCACTGGCCTCACCCCCCAATGCAGGTAGGTGCCCAGGGACCCCCCAGCCCTGGTTCTCATGCTAACCACCAGCCTCACTAAGATCTCAGAGTTGCTCATTGACTCTTAATCTCCTGTATGCCCCCCATGAGGCCTGGAGAGCCTCCATTATCCATCCATCTACTTCTTGGGTGCCTGGTGAGTGCTGAGCACCACAGTAGATGCTGTGACAGAATAAAGAGCAAGAACTGTCCCTGCCCTCTCAGAATTTGGAGTCTCACAAAGGAGACAGGTAGGCAGCAAATAATCACAAAACACACACACACACACACACACACACACACACACACACACACACACAAACTATGCTCAGCCCCACAGAGGAGAGGTACAGAGCGCTTTAAGAACCCATGACGGAAGATGTGATCCTGTGAAGGGCCTGGGGAGGAGCAGGGTGTTGGGTGGGCTAGAGGTCCACGGACCACAGGGCACACCTGTCACCTTTCCTGCATCTTACCACACTCAGCCAAGCATTGGTCACTGCATGTATTCCCCATCTCACTTGTCTCTGACACAGAAGTACAGCTTCCCTAAGGCACCAGAGGTCATTGACTGAGCTGTGTGCATTGAGAGACAGAGATGGTCTATGCCTTTCTCATCAGGAGAAAGACATCAGGACGATACATCACTGGCCCTAAAGACTCAGATTAGGGGAGGGTCTGTCCTGCATTGGAAGCACCTCCACCACTCCCTGGGCCACAGATCCTCCTCTGCACATGCCAGCCCCTCCCACGGCATCACTGCTGCCAAGCCCACTGAATCATGCCCCTTCCCCTAATGTGAGCACCCACACAGGTATATAAGCAGCAGATGTCAGAAACAGCTCCAGGGCACCTAACACTATCAGCATCAACACTTCCTCCTTTCCCAGTGGGCCCAGCAGGGGAACTTCAAGGCTATCACGAGGCTGCAGAGTCCATGCCAGGGATGGCAGCAGGCCAGACAGGCCCAGGGGCCCTCTCAAACCCTAATCATGTTCCATTTAGGGAAAATGTCCATGGAAGGATACACAATGAGCTCTACTGAATCCCAGCTACAGTTTAGATCTTCCTCTCCCTGAAGACAGGGCTGGTTTGAACTTCTCATTAGCCCCAACTCTAGACAAACAGTAGGTTAATTTATGTCCACTCAATTGAAAAAGCATCAGCTTGTGAGCAGCATGGACACGTGTCCTCAGGTAGTGTTGTCTTTTGTATTTTTCCAGTGTCTGGTTATTTAAATTCCAAGTCCCTGGGAGCAAGACTCATACTTTGTACCTCCCCAGGACCTAGCCATAAATGGGATAAGAGGTACAGAATAAACAGTTGCAGATTCACCTATTCAAGGTCAGAATAGCAGCTTTTAGCCTTTCCCAGTACTATTAAATTCCAGAGGGCACAGTAATTGCTGTGGGTGCTATTTCCCTGATACTTACTCCATCACCCATTCACCCATTTAGACATTTATCTACCACATATCAGCACTACAGTGGACAGCAGGAAAATAAGCTTCATTATGAGCCTTCACGGAGCACTTGACAGCCTGTAGTACTTTCACATGGATGTCTCACTTAACATCCTGCCTTGTGCTGTCAGAATACTGGCAAGGGCTGCCACCTGCCTTGTCCACCCAATTAGACTGTAAGCCCCTCTGAGCTTTGGGCACCAATTACAGTGCCCAGTGCCCTTTCGTCTCCTTGCAGCGGGGACCTCAGTCTGGCACTGAGAAAGTACTCAATGGATTGGCAACATGTAGAATTCTGTGTACTGCAGCTTACTTAGGAAATCAACCCAACAAAAAGAATTTATCAAATAGCCACTACATTCCCTGAACTCAGCAAAAGAAATTTGATGGTAGCTGATTATTAAAGGGTTGGCTCTTTTAAAAAATTATCAGCAAGTGAACAGAAACCATTACTGTTAAGAATAAATAACCTATGAGTGTCCCCTAAGTGTAAAGACACATTTCAGTCATATCAAGCTGTAAGAGCAGGGTAAATTGTGTACATTTTATCTCTGGTGTTGGCGTGCAACTTACTGATATACTACAGGAATCACCATCACGCTCAGCCTGAATCTCCACACTTCCAAGGTGCAAGATAGAAGCAATGATCTTAAAAATGCTTATCTGATGGGACTCTTTCACTCCTAGAAAAAAAAAAATGAATGAATGACACTCAATATCCACGGTCGAATGGTAAGGACATTTTACGCTTTTTAAGGATTTTTTTTTTTTAAAGTAAGGTTTGATTTTCCTTTTTGGCCCAATGACTCCTAAAATGATCCAGGCTCCTCACCAAGTAATTACCACTCACAGTAACAGCTCAAAGGGCAAAGGGGCTCCTTGGACTAAAAAGAAAATATCCTCACTATGATTGTCCTGGCCAAACCAGATGGGTCATGCTACCATTTTAACTTCTCAAAGAGCAAAGGAGAGGCAGCAATCCTGCAGGCTCATTTGTACTTCATTTCAACCAAATGGGTGTTTTTATGAGTTTAATAAGAATGGCCATTTATCTGCAATCACTTTTTTCCCCAACATAATATCCTGCAAACATCTGTGACACACATCACTAATGCCAATGAGAGAAGAAGAGGAGAAACTTCTCCTGGGATTGCTGTTCTAGGGCTGGATGGCCAGCTGGCCCCTGGCCATCTCCACATGAGAACAGCAGCTTGCCACACGATATGCACTGTCATAGTCATAGGCAGGCGCACCGACACCAGAACCACTGTGGCAGCAATAACCTGTTGTCAGATTTGTTATTTACCTATATGAATATGTGTTTAGCTTGCAAGATATTGGCATTTTTACAAAATCATTCAGACTCATTTTCAAAAGACTACAGCATAATAGAATACCAGTAAACCTACCACTTAGTTTAAGTGGTAGGTTTACTCCCCATTCCTCCCAGCTGCAGTTTTTTTTTTAGGCAATATTTTATTCAGGCTTAAAAAAAGTCAATAACACCTATATAAAATGGGAGGCATAGATGTGTCATGCTAGGATTAAAAAACTTCCCCAGATAATCTACAAAGTGGACGACCCAGGCAAAATTAACTCTAGGCTTTCATGTTAGATGGCCACTACCATGTAATCATCATAGATTTAATTTTTTATTTTTATTGTGTAAAGTTTCAAAACATACAAATAACAACAAAGTAAAAAATACAACGGATCCCTGTTCCTCCTTCATCATTAGACCCCCAGGGGCTAGAACACTGCCCTGGAACATAGCAGATGCTCAGAAACATAAATGGTAGAATGACCGGATTGATGATTGCTACACAGACTGCAAGTACTTGCAGCTGTCTATCACAACATATGCATTATTCAAATATGTGGTGTTATTAGCCTAGAAATCCCCCAAAAACACCAAAGAATTTAAGCATCCATCTTGGTTCAGCATAACTGAATAACACCTGGTAAAAGGAAGACAGGTTAAAGCCAGAGGCAGGTATTCCAGACAAGATAGGAAGCTAGAGACTTATGCATCCCTGTAGCGGGTAAGGCACTGGGCTTTTTTGTCTGAGCTTAGAATATGTTGCTCTTAAGTCAAGTTCCATTAAAAAAGTACTAGACAGGAGGGTGCTGGGACTATCATGGAACAAGAGGGACATATTCTGTAGGCAGTAGCTTTTCTACTTTATTTTTTTGAGACAGGGTCTTCCTCTGTTGCCCAGGTTGGAGTCCAGTGGCACAGTCACTGCAGCCTCAAACTCCTGGGCTCAAGCAATCCTCCCACCTCAGCTGCTTGAGTAGCTGGGACTACAGGTGTGCGCCAACATGGCTGGCTAATTTGTTTTAAGTTTTGGTAGAGACAGGGTGTCCCATGTTGCCCAGAACTCCTGGGTTCAAGCAATCCTCCTGCTTTGGCCTCCCAATTGGAATTACAGGCATGAGTGACTGTGTCTGGCCTACTTTGTTTACCCTTGAGAACGAATGCTCTGTCAATTTCCAAAGACCTAACCATCCTGTCAGGATAGGAATTTAAGTGGTAGATACAGAGTGAATACTGAATCCTAACAACAGTTAGGATCCTCACACTACACTGATGCGAAAATCCTTTCTTGCTGTGAGATTCTTTGAATAAGTGGTACCGCACACTGCGGGAAGCAAAAAATCTAAACAAAAACAAAAATCAATCAATCAAACCTAAGGAGTAAAACAGGGGTTGGCAAACAGCCTGTTTCCATAACTAAAGTTCTATTAGAACACAGTCATACCCACTCCCTCACATTCTGTCTATTGCTACTTTCACAAAACAGCAGAGTTCAGCGCTTTGCAACAAACTGTATGGCCCACAAAACCTAAAAAAATATCCTATCTTATCCTTTAAGTTTGCTAACCCCTGCAATTTAAAAAAGGGACATGTTTATTAAAGAATAAAGAAAGTCTTACTACAGTAATTAGTTTTACAAAAGCAATCTGCTTTGAGCATTTAAGTATCCAGCCTCCTTAGAGCCTTGGAGGAAGGAATCCTCTCCTTATATCAGCTTGTGCCCAGTGCCCACACCAGCACTACAAGAGCAGCTGCCAGAGGCCTTCTCCTTTCTCCCAGCAAATTCAGAGTGGAATGTATCCTGCACACTGTCAAGTCTTCTCCAAACCTGCTCCCCAGCTCTGGAGACTAAGATGGGCATGTAATGCAACGGAAGTCAGGGGTACCTGATAACAACTTTTTTCTCAGCTACAATGCATCCCCTATTTGCCCTGCTTTATTAAACTGCAGCTGGACCCTGCAAACATTTCTGCTTTGCCTGCTGGCAGAACATCAAGCTCGCTCAATAGGGGGCACTTCAGCGATTTGTAAGGCAACAGCACAGAAAGACAATTCCCTTTCTGGTTCTGGTTCTCCACAGTTATGATTCATTAGGGAGCCCAGAAACTTCCAGATGAGCTCCAGCTCTGCCCTCAGGCCTGTCTCCCCATCAGCAGTGGCTTCTGAGCAGTTCTGCCCTCCCCCCACACCTTGGGGAATCTGTAGCCTGCTTGTATAAACCAGCTCCAGCCTGCATCCTCTGGGCAAGTTTCTTCATCACATCCTCTTCGAAGTGAACTAAATCTCAGCTAGGGTGGAGGCCTCTCCTACTCAATGGTTCCTTTATTGGCTGGTTTTCCTCCCCTGCCTCAAGGGATAGCAGCTGTCCTTTTGCACCTGCTGCTTCTGGATCCTCTAAAGTTCTTGTTTACCCCTTTTGCAGTCAATCACCTGCTATTGCTGTAGTTAGAAAGATTAATATAAACAATTGTTATTTTGAAATAACCAGTGTGGTTTGTGTCTCCTGATAGTTCGTGGGTATGAAAGACAAACCCTGTCTATGTAGCAGTTTCCCAGAGAACTGACTGGCTCTGGAAGCATGGCAAATAAGGGTCTGGTTGCCTCCCCATAGAGAGGTTAGGGTGTGTCCTGTTTGGCCATGTTTTATTAGGACATTGGATAGAACTTCCCTGACCTTCAAAGAACCCAACATGCTGCTCTGGGTTAGTCACACGGCTCAGAAGCCGAATGTTCTGTGTCCTTCAGAGAAGGGGCTGGGGAAGACACAAGTGCCATCCTGAGCCACTTGGGGTTTCAGGCTGACTTCTTCAGCTTTTCTTTTTCTGGCTGCAGGTTCCAGGAATTTAACACTTCAAATCCCAACTGAGAAAGGCTTACCTTCTGCCTTGCCGCTTTTCCCCAAAAAGTGGCAAGGGAGCAGGGCAACTTCAGTTCTACAGTCCCCCCTTCTGCCCCTGAAGGACAGAGAACTTCTCGTTTGAAGGATTCCAATGCTAAAGCTCTGTATGGAAACAGAGCTGACAGAATTAACGCTGTATGTGTGACGCAGCTGCCAGACCTTCATAGCCTGCTTCCAACTCTGATTTCATGTTGTGGTACCAGGTGCACTGGGTGGGCACAACATTGTGTTCTTTCTGCTACAGCACACTGAGCCCAGACCACAGCATGAGGAGACATGGCTACACTTGCTTTGCCTCCATTGGTTCCAACAGCCTGCATGAGTAGAAAGGAATATTGCACAGGGCCTGGGAGAGAGAATCTCAAAAGCTTATTTTTTATAAAGGCAACAAAGCCAGATTTTAAGTTCTAGAGACTGAGGGTTGGGATGGGTAAGAGAGTAAGATTACATTCATCAGGCGCAAGAAGGCATCCTGCATTAGCTCCTGCAGGTTGTTGGCAAGCACAGTGGGGCATCAACTTGCATTCTACCCTCCACGCCATCAGCCCTTGGGGCCTGCTTCCCCAGTTTAGAAGCTCCTTACCTAGGAGTGTGAAGGCTTGTCGAGTCTTCTCAAAATCCTCAGCATCATCCACACCCTCAATGGAAGTGTCTCCACCCTGTGATGTATAGAAAAAGTCCTCCGCACTTGCTGTGGGGACAAGGAAGTAAGGCATGAGGCACTGGAGGATACTTCATCCCACAGATCATGACCCATGATGATTTTACTCCATTAGCATGCTATCCCAGACCAGATTTTAGGCTCAGCTGGATGTGAAACTCTAAAATAGTCTTTATCCACAATGGCAAATGGGAGAGAAAACTGAATAGTACAAGAAAATTACATGACATTGACAGAAATGTCCTGCTGTATTTATGTAAAATTGGCAAGGGAAACATATGTTAACACAAAAGGCATATACATCACAGTTCAATTTAATAGGATTCATCACAGATTTGTTTTTAAAAAGATCTGATACAAGTAAAATGTATCCCCACCCTAGAGCTAGACTTCCATGACTTAGATAATCTCCGTCTGACAAGCTCATGTGACAAATGAGGAACAGTGATGTGCCCAAGGAGAGAAGGCTTTTTTTTTGTTGTTGTTGTTCATTTGTTTTACTAAGTCGGGCACACTTGAACTCTCTGGGCACATGCACAAATTCAGGTTGAGACCCTTACATGTTTGCTCTCATCCCCCAGCTTAATTCGTCTTCAGTCAGGACTCTGGTAACAGCCTAGGGGACAGCTGATAAGGAGGGGCCCAGGTAGTGTCTTAAAATTCAGAGCCAAGCTTAGCAGAGGATACAAATGCAACAAGCCCTGGGTAGTATCTGCCCTACAAAGAGCATACCAGGATTAGCTCTTAGGAGGGAGGAGGGCTTAGAAGTCAGCATTTAAGGCAAAAATTGCACATAATCGAAGTTACCCTTAAAAGTTGCTTAAATCTTTCATAAGATATAGTAACTTGTATGGCATAACCCTGCCTGATACTTCATGTTCTAAGTGTATAATGTTTGGTTTTGATAGGATGTCAAAAGGAGATACTGGCCAATTGCCCTGTTCCCTGAAAACCCTAGTTAAATTCTTTTCCCTTGACCTGAGCATGCAGGGCTGAAACACGTCAGTTAAAAGTGCTTAGATGCAGCTTTACTGCAACTCTCAATCTTCTTTCAACACCTGTCCTTCCAAGAATTTCTAAAGTCTCTTTCCTTTCTCCATCCTGATTGCCATTGCCCTTCAGCTCCACTGTCGGAGCTGTTGTAAAAGACACTACACCACTCTCTGCTTCTGCACCCATTCCTTCAAATCCACCTCCAAAATGCTATTAAGTCTGATCATACCACCCACTCTGCTTCAAGCCCCTTGAGAGGTCCCACTGCTCTCAAGGACAAGGTCAAACCCTTGACACCCCCGCCACCGGCTCTTTTGTGAAGCGACCATCCTATACTCTCCAGACTCATGGCTTATTCCTTTCCCATCTCTCTGTTCCAGATACACCAGTTTCCTTATTATCATGCACCAGCTCTGCCCTCTGTCCATGCCTTCAATCGTCTCTGCATACCTCTCCTTCCTCACCTCTCCCCATTTCCCACCTTGCATCCTATGCTCCAAGCCATATTGAGCTTTGCCCATTCCTCCAGCCCATTACACATACATGGCCAGGCCCAGCGAGGGAGAGACAGCACTCAACCCTAGACCCCAGTCTGACAACCCAACCTGAGCTATAGCCACTGGGTGACACTGCCCACAGGCAAGAAAAATCAGGATATCGGTTGTACTCTATAAGTGAAGGTTTCCTGGAGGAGTAACAAATTCTGAGGACCAGTGGCCAAGGCACTTCAACTGAGAAAGGAAGGACTCCAGCCTGTACTAACTCAGCCCCAGCAGAAGCACATTTTTATGACAAAAACCACATCAGATTTTTGCAGAAGACAGCATTTCAGCTCTTTCTTGCCTAGTCACTCAGCAAGCTCCAACACAGAGCAATACAACAGTTTCAAAGGCTTAATAAAAGCACCAATTATTTTTTCCCTTTACACTCACATTTCAAAGTATCTCATTTGATTATTTTTACAGTGGCCACCTGAAGAAGACTGTCTATATTATTTACTCCCATTTTTCAGAAAGGCAAACTGAGTAACATGGGGCTTTAAGAGGTGCCCAGGGTCACACAGGGTTTGGTCAGGCCTGGGAGCCCATTACCTGATTACCCTATTGTAGAAATTTACCTGTGACATCTCATGATTTTGCCACAAATACAACACAACTCATCAAGTATCAGCCAAACACATCAGAAAGAGTCACCTGAGATGTCAAAGGAGACTAGACTTCCATATTGGAGGGAATTCATTTTCAGCATCTTTTGAAGACCCTTCATTGTCAACAGCCAAGGCCCTACTGCCTGATGTTGCTATGAATCAGATAAGCTACCCCACCTTCCCAGCTCCAAGTTCCCAAACTCAGGCCCAGCTGGGCAACTTCCTCAGGCTGATGCTCGTCACTGCAGGGTCCACCTGGGTCAATTATAGCGTTCTCTACTGAATGATCTGAAACCAATCAAAATGATTGTGGTTATATATGCTTTAAGGTCTGCAGTCAACTCTGTCACATCACTCTCTACACCCTCTTAATAAGATACATCCAAACGAAACTCAGTCTCCTCTCACCTGCTTGGCCTTCCTGGATCTCAGCCCTCCTTTCAGGTCCAGAAAGCTGAACACTGACTATCCTGTCCCAAAGCAATTTCTTTCATCCTCCAATTTAGGTCTCTGTCTTTACCAAGAATTCCCAAGGAGGAATGTACCACAAACCTATTAACTAGTTCAACAGGCAGAGATCGGATCAGGCAATCAATAGAATGCAGAGGAGAAGGTAAACCCAGTGATTACAGCACCAGACCATCAAGTTCATCAGCTTGTACTTCACCTAGGGAGGCTATGCTCTGACCTGTGCAAGGCCAGAGAGGTTGTTTATAAAACTGTATCCATACAACTACGGAAGTAAAAAAGAAGGAAAGAAATTTACTTCTTATCCCCTAAAGGTTGTATTTAAGGGAAAATGGGCCTGTTACAACAGGATGTAACACCAGAAATTGGTGTATCTGGAACACAAAGATGGAGAGGGAATAAGCCAAGCCGCATCCTTCTGTGAGTGGAAGGCAGGGGGCAGCTACTTCACAAAAAGGCCAGGAGGTTATTCTAGGGTACTGGCCTTGGCCTATATGGTTTTTACCATCATTTATTCACACCTTAACAAATTATTCATTGGACTTTTCAAAAAAATCTCTACTTGAGGTAATTTTAAATGCAGTGGCCCACTGACAATGGAACAGAAGAGTGTGGATGACTGGATACAAATCTGCACCCTCCATCCTCAGACAAATATATCAAATTTATGCCAAGCCAAGGGGTCTTGCAGAGACTTGTGTGCACATGAATTGGATGTTTTGGGTGAAGAAGAGGAAGGAGGATACAAAGCAAGTCTAAATACTCACTTAGAGCCTGGACTAGTTTACAGATTTGCTTTTTTCAGCTACTCTAACAGGGTTATCAGTGGACCTAAATGTCAAGCTTCAGAGCTCACAGCTGATCCACCCATGAGACTGAGGATCAGCCTGATACCAGAGCACAAGTGCTTATCAGAGGCTCTTGCTTCACTCCAAAATATTCTCAGAGGGCATATGCAGGTGAAACAGCAGAAAAAGACTGACCAAATTGGGTAGTTTTCAAGCACTGCGGCCTAGGGACCAAGAAGTATGTACCTTGCAGAGGCAGGAAATAAGAGGAAATAATTTTTTTAAATTTTACTTTAGGTTTTGGGGGACATGTACAGGTCATGCAGGGTTTTTGCATGGGTGTATACATAACCAGGTGGTTTGCTGCCTCTATTTCCCCTTTGACTATATTCGGCATTTCTCCCCATGTTATGTCTCCCCACCTCCCGCTGTCCCTCCCCTAGCCCCCGCACCAACTACCCCCAGTGTGTGATGCTCCTCTCCCTCAGTCCATGTGTTCTCATTGTTCAACACCCACCTATGAGTGAGAACATGCAGTGTTTGGTTTTCTGTTCTTGTGTCAGTTTGCCGAGAAAGATGGTTTCCAGATTCATCCAAGTCCCTACAAAGGACACAAACTTATCTTTTTTATGGCTGCATAGTATTCCATGGTGTATATGTACCACATTTTCTTTGTCCAGTCTATCACTGATGTGCATTTGGGTTGGTTCTAGGTCTTTGCTATTGTACACAGGGCTACAATAAACATATGTGTGCATGTATCTTTATAGTAGAATGATTTATAGTTCTTTGGGTATATACCCAGTAATGGGATTGCTGGGTCAAATGGAATTTCTATTTCTAGATCCTTGAGAAATCGCCACACTGTCTTCCACAATGGTTGAGCTAATTTACACTCCCATCAACAGTGTAAAAGCGTTCCTATTTCTCCACATCCTCTCCAGCATCTATTGTCTCCAGAGTTTTTAATGATCGCCATTCTAACTGGCGTGAGATGGTATTTCAGTGTGGTTTTGATTTGTGTTTCTCTAATGACCAGTGATCATGAGCATTTTTTCATATGTTTGTTGGTCTCATATATGTCTTCTTTTGAAAAATGTCTGTTCATATCCTTTGTCCACTTTTGAATGGGCTTTTTTTCTTGTAAATCTGTTTTAGTTCTTTGTAGATTCGGGATATTAACCCTTTGTCAGATGGGTAGACTGCAAAAATTTTTCCCATTCTGTTAGTTGCCAGTTCGCTCTAATGATGGTTTCTTTTGCTGTACAGAAGCTCTGAATTTTAACTAGATGTCATTTCTTTATCTTGGCTTTTGTTACCATTGCTTTTGGTATTTTAGTCATGAAGTCCTTGACTATGCCTATGTCCTGGATGGTTTCGCCTATGTTTTCTTCTGGTGTTTTTATGGTGTTAGGTTTTATGTTTAGATCTTTAATCCAACTGGAGTTAATTTTAGTGTAAGGTGACAGGAAGGGGTAAAGTTTCTGCTTTCTGCACATTGCTAGCCAGTTTTCCAAATATCATTTATTAAACATAGAGTCCTTTCCCCATTGCTTGTTGTCAGGTTTGTCAAAGATCAGATGGTTTTAGATCTGTGGTGTTGCTTCTGAGGCCTCTGTTCTGTTCCATTGGTC